ATTAAAACACTATATTTAAACGTTAATAAAACTTTTTCACCGGTACGGTGGCTTCGGATAAAGATTTTCAATCCAAACCGCGTTAGCAGTGTGTTGTTTTATGTATGGACATATTTTCCAATACTTTAAAAAATAGTATCAAATTTGTTTTCAAAATTTTGTAGTGTAGAATGTAATTGTAACAGTAAATGTAGTTTCAAATAATATATAAAAAAAAAAAACTGCATGTTAACAATATTGCAAGCGAGTAAGTGGTTTGTTGGTTTGTTACAAAATGTATTTTATTACATTGGCTATAGCTATTTTTCGTAGGTTTTTTTTCCGTTGGAAATGTGTTTTTTAAACTTTGGATTTTTATATTATTTTTTTTTTTTTGGTATTAAAGTTTTGGATTTTCGCGTTTAACGTTTATTATATATTTTTTTTTTTGTCACACACCGTACACCGTTGCGGCCGGCCACCTACTTGTAAAATATATACCTATATATATATATATATTTTATACACAACACAATACTCATATGTATTGTGCACGAAATGGAAAATGAAATACTACCGGAACAAATGGGTCACACACAATATCTTGCCAGAAGTGCCATATTATAATAATAATAATAAGTAAAATGCCTTGTGGTGTACAAGTGAAGTCCGCGATGAAGTTACGAGATAAACACGTTTTGGAACGTGTCGTTCCGTGTACCTGTCAAATGAACGCCCTGTATACATGTATACCTGTATATATATATATAATTATTATGTAGTACCCATTCCCGGTGCCGGTGTAGAGGCACATATGTTATTATTATATAGGTATATATACACATGTACATGTTCCTGTAGATTTATTATGTTTTTAGAATAAAAAAAAAAAAAAAAAAATACTAAAATTCCATTGTTATTACTACATATTTTTTTTATACAGTAATATATGCTAATGACAATGTAATAACACATAAATAGTAATAACGCACAGAGTTTTTCTTGTGTCTGTAACGATATATATATATATATATATATATATATATTGTAATATTATTGTTTTTCAACGATTCGGATTTAGTTAGTAAACTCGAAAGATTCAATTATTACGTTCATCGTATAATGCCATGTTTTTTTTTTTGTGAAATAGCGTTTTTACATATATTATAGTTCAACACGACCTAATCCTACTACTCTATAAGACATTCCAACAAATATGTGAAACCCTTAAAATATGAAATACAATATAATATACAAAAGTGTATATATCTGACTAATGTTTAAAAAAACATCATATTGGGGTTGTATTTCTTTGGCTACATATTATAGTTTGTAAAGTAATGAGTCGATGAGTTTTTTGTTATTTTTTTTTTTTTAATCAGCTAATACAAAAGAAATAATATTTAGTTGAAGGTATTGCGTTTAAAAATATCAACACTATATCGTGTTTGAGCAATTTTTGCATTTTAGTAAGTATATATACATTATATAGATATATACATGTATATATATATATATATATATATATATATATATATATATATATATATAATCACATTATTAATTGCATTAATTTGTTTGTAAATACAAAACAAGTAAGCTAATATTAGTTATAGCCTATAGTTTCTTCTAGTTAGGGTTAGGGACTAAAACGCGGTAAAAAATGGTATGTTGCTGTACAGTTTTCGTTTTACTTTTTTACCTGATTTCACTTTTTTAGATTAAGTTAGGTTCGGTTTTACACTGACAAAAAGTTCTGCCGATAACACCGATTGTTGTGAATGAATATATTCTCTTCAGAGTGTTATACCTAGTTTATTATTATTGTTGCTGTAGGCTTGCGTCGAGATTTGCCAGTTATTTTTCTAGTGTAAAAAATGTTCAACTAAAAGCGTACACGCCTGCACTGTATAATAATATATGACGTGACAACGGACACACGTAGGTTAACATGGGCAATTGCCAAATTATCATAAGCGTCGATCCCGATTATACCGTACGGATACGCGCGCTGGGAATTCTTCGGTTGACGGACAAGATTCATTTGACACGGCAGCAAAATAATATACTTTAAAAACTTACAAATGTTTTTTTTTTTAATACGGTAGTAAAAAAAAAAAAATACATGTTAAACACGACCCGAGACAATGTGTTAACATGCGTCCCGTTTTAGTAAATACGTGTATAGTATTATTATTATAAACTCGAATAATTTATAACCTAGCGCAACAAGTCACCGCCGTTTTGTACCAATAAGATTTTGGAACAGAGTTTACACGGATTACTATAATTGGTCGGGGCAAGGACCGACTGGTAAGGAGCTGTCGATTGATTGGGCGAGCAAAAAAGATAATTGATATTATTGGTGCTTTCCAAACACTCGCGGTCCAACCACAACGCACGGTGCGCGTTTTGCACCACGCCCACCAAGTGAACCGACCAATCAAATGGAAATCAACCACTAACAAAACTATACTGCTCTTTTGATATCACTTCCAATCTCGTACCAAGAAGAGGGGTTGAGTAAAAATGTTTACAAGAGGTCTTCTAGAAGCTCAACTATCACCTTCTACAATAATTTTTAATAACTATTAAAATACTACTCACTATAACCGAGAAGCACTTAATTAAACTTGTTCTAATCCAATATGTTATGCCATTTTACAAGTTTTAGCTAAATGCTTCTAAACGTAGGTCTCGACATTCCGATTATGATAATTTTAATAAAATAAAGTATTTAAATTTTCTTTTTAAAATAATTATGAGGAGGGTGTAAAAAATCAAATATTTCCTATAAAATAACAAACAGTACCAGCGGTCGAGATTTAGGTACTTCTTTATACATACATTTTTAAAGGTAATTAAAATGTCATTACCTTTTCTGTAAGACGGGATCGTTTTCAAAACAGGTGAGCTAATAAACTCTCTTTGGCTTTTTCTAGTTTCCAGTTTTATTTTATAATAATACTTATCTACAATATTATTTGTATGCCTCTCGGACACATTTTAAAAAATGTTTATTTTAATAGGTCATGTAAAGGATATGCATTTCTGTAGTCAATAGGTCCATAATCGTAGTAATCGTCTGACATGTTCGATGGGCTTGCAGTGTTTTAGCTCTTATATATACCACGATGGTCAAAATGGTAAAATTGGCGTGACCTATGGAAATATAAAAGCTGGAATCGAGGAATCGTTTGTCGGATAACGTTAAGATCCACTGAGATAAAGTCTTCTATTCATCTATTTTCTTATCAACTGCAGTCTGGTGGCAGTCCATTCATTTCTCCCACGAACGAACGTCTTCCTTGAACTGTGGTGTTTATGAAAAGAAGAGTAAGTCGCAGTATCTAAGTGGCTCGTTGCTGAAACTATACTGACAGTCACAGCTCTGACGATCGTTTTCTTCTACCGTTAGTGTGTCAGCTGCGGCGGTTGCTGTCGGGTTTCTCGATCAAAAGCATATTTTTCTTATTGGCGATTGCATTCTACTAGTTGTGCGGCACTAAGACGGCTTATGGTATTTAGTTATCCACATTGCGCGTTGTTCTCATTCAATGGCGCCGGTTAGTTTCTTGGTATAATACACAGCTTAATAAAAAAAATAATAGTAACCGATCTACCAATTAATCACTACTACGCTGTGTATCTAGAAATATATTTTATACCAAAATATGTGTATAATAATAATAGTAATAATATTCGTGGATTGACACGTTCTAGTCGTTAAATTCCCCACGTTCCTAAGCCGAAATATTTTGATATAGGTAAGAATATATGTTAAATAATATGGTGGCACGCTTAGCTACCTGTTTCTTGCTCCTCTGATCTCCGTGTAATAGAGCTGATGTAAATTTCAAAAAATAAGATGTTATAACCTATCCAATTACCCTTAGCCGAGAAGGTTATGAATTAGGAAGGATTGTCAGAGAGGAGAGACTGATCGAGACAACAGATTACTCTGACCATTTGGGTCTTCTCTGAAAAGTCACCAGGAGAGGGCGAACCCGAGGAGGAATATTGAATCCTTTTGGACATTTTAAATGCCCTCTAAAGAACTCTTTTTATTTTTTTTATGGGTGCTATTGTTAATCACAAGCACAGGAGATTGCGTTACACCGAGCGTGGGTACGCTGAGCGTTTAAATAGCTGGCCGAGGCCTGGCAAAAAAAAAAACACCTATTTCAATTACTGTTGCTCCTCAAATCCGTTTGTTGGCGTTACGTCAAGACCGACAGCTTTCATAAAAACAACCACACGCGTCTAGGACTTTCTAACGAGCCTATACAGTCGGTATACACTTAGAAAAGTAATAAGGAATTATTATTTTTTTTTTATATAAAAAAAAACGTGCAATGTAATAGGCAGGTAGGCAGGTAGGTAGGTAATAATAACAGTTATACGGTACCTATTAATAAGCGTACAATAACATAATGGATGGTGCGTGGGCATACAATACAAACGCATACTGTCTCAATGCGAAATGCATGTCTTATACACGACTGATGATGCATATGATTCAGCCGGTTTGTCTGACAATACATTTTATTCATTTGCCGGACTTGTCTCGGCTAAAAGCGATCACACTGATCTGAAATAATTCAGAACTTGCCACCAAAAAAAAAAACTGATTACAATGCATATTTTGTTATTGACTAATTTCCATGCAGGAAGAAGACACTGAGTGCATTATTATTGCATGTGATCTACGCGCACCGAGCTAAACCTATACAATATTATTAACCATGTTGGAAGGAGTGACAACTTTTTCTGTATTTCCCTATTCGACAGTAGATTGTGGACTTAAAACCCGAACAAACTTAAACCGATTCGTCGCCACCGAGCTGTCTCAGCTGACTATTTCGGTTTGGTTTTATTGTATTTTCTGTCGCTAATTACCATCGAGTTGATTAAGTATGCTATTTTAGCGGAGTATGTGATGTTAACGGTATGTAGATGTAGGTCTGCCACTGACCCGATGCTCGTTTGTGGAAATGTGAAAAATAAAAACGATCACTTACGTTATTGCTACCTTCGGATGCGGTTATTTGTCCGACCGAATGGATTTTCACGTTGACGAACATTGCCCAAATGCCGGTAGAGCTCTTCCACTGAAAGCAAATGTGATTCCACTGGTCTTTGGCCAACGTGGCGCTTTCCGAAGCCACCAGTTTGCCCTTGATGATCACTCGTATGGTCTGCTTGGGTTGCGCCATCAACCGCCACAGGAACACCGTCTCTTTTTTGCTACCTACATTGTGTAAAAATACAGATAAAAGAAAAAATTGTAATTTATACGGGAGAGAAAAACCGGTGTGACAGTTTTTAAAAAATAATTTATAAGTATATAAATATATTACTGTTGTCCATTATCTGTTATCTGTTATCTGTTACCCGTTATCTCTTATCTCTTATCACTTATCTCTTATCTCTAACTGAAAGCGAAAGTGTAACGCGAAAATGGCGACACGAAATTTCTTGTACACAGCCCAATTAACAAGTACTATTCATGTTAAAAATATGTCAAAACCTTTGGAATAAACTCGACTAGATTTTATAATTTAATTAATTCACAATGAATATACTTTGACGTATCATATTCCGAAATTGTAAGTATAGATAAATTAGATAAACGATTTAGCGGTACACACGAGTACCGTTTTGTACAAATTACAAAATTAAAAACATTAATTACCTATGTTAACGAAATAAAGTATATTGTGTCGGATGTTTAGATCATTTAATATGTTTTGTAATTATTGATCTAAGGCTAGATAGCTAGAATATTATCACAGACAAATCAAATTTGACCGCACATTTTCCTCAAAAAACATGGCCGCCAGTATAATATAGTGATAACAAGTTACAAATTTCATATTAAATCCGTCAGAGGTAACTCGATACTCGACTTCTAAACTGTTTTTTAAACTACAAAAAGGTAAATCACATGTTTCTTTCTATACAGTTTAGAAAACGACGATAAAGACACACAATTGTATTATGCTTACCCGTCAGACGGAATATGGTTTGGGCCTGAGTGAAATTTGTCAATTTTATCCAAGTGCAAATTGTGAAGTCGGTCATGTTGTACGACAAGTCGTCGAACTGCACGTACTGAAAAAAAGCAAGTATTCAATTTATTTATTAAAAAAAAAAAACAAATAACTTTATAAATACTATTACATGTCGAGGAACCAATGGGAGACCTACCGAATGAATTCCAAATTTTGGTTTTTTTGGAATGGTGGGTGTGGGAGGGAGAGAGGAACTTAAGCCATTCTAATCAAAACTTACCCTCTTTTTGTGAAGCAACACTACCTTTAAGTGTAGGTCCAATTAATTTAACAAGAATTATAATAATTTATGTAGGTACTACTCTTAGATACTCTCTACAAGATAAGTACTAGATGCGTTTACAGTAGGTAACACATTTGTCCATGTCGATGCCCGCTTTTAATCAAAATTATATGCAATATTCAGATATTATGTAAACTTTACTTCATCAGCTATAGAGTAGTGTTAGAGAGCATCGTTTGGTAATATTATTGGCTTAACACGTGTATGAGTACACGTATGAGTTGTGTGACAGTGTAAACGCGAGAAGTTAAAAACTACTAATAAAATATAATTACTCTCGAAGGACATATTATGTTACTGAAATAGTCAGAAAAGGATTTTTATAGACATAATAACCGTTTTTTGGCAGAAGCTCAATCAATTTTCTTTGCTTAATAAGACCAAATACCAGTACGGAAATAGGTCTGTATTATTCGTTTAATTTAAATATCTCTGGAAATGACTACGAATAGACTTCCAAGATATTATTTCTAGTGTACTTAATAATAGCAATGGTCCTGTTGAAAATGACGGGTTACATCGCCAGTGTTGTATAATATTTGAACAGAGTTGAAAAATATTCAAGTGATTTAATGGAGTTCAACGACATTTAGCATACAGAAAACTATTGGATTATAATTTTATTCGAACTGTCTATTATATTTTTTTTCAACTGAATAATGTAATTTTTTTTAAGTCACTTCAAGTAAGCCATTATGCAAATATATACTTGACAATTTTTAAAGTAATACACCATCTGTTATATCTGTTAGAAATGGCTAATTATAATAATTATAGACCAAAAGTTCTACTTGTAAATCATCTTGTAAACATTCTATCAATGAAAATAACACTTCAGTTCGTTTGATACAAACAACACAATGGAGAAAGTGCTATTATCACGTTGTGTGGTCACATTATACTAATTATATATTAATTGTACGATTATGGTACATTGTAAATTGGGAAGAGTTGGGCAATATCTATTTGGTAAAAAATCTAATAACGTATTAACTGATATAAAAAAGTAATATTTTGTAGGAATAATTTTTAAAGACATTTATACATCTGAAAATTGTTACATCGATATCATTTTAATCCATTAAAGCTTTAAGTGGTTAATTTTTTTAAGATTTTTTTTAATAAATTCCCATTGAAAGAGATCAAACAACGACGCCTAAAGAATGGACAGTTTTGACTAACGTTTTGCGATTAGTCAAAAAACCTTTTACACAATCTCGCTTTGTGCCCAACAGCTGAGAGATTGTGTTGCATCTATAATATCTATATATATATATATATATATATTATAATATTGTACTATTATGTTCTATTCGATTATATTATATTTTCTCAATCGCCATACCTAAGTAGATAATTAGGCACAACACACCATAACGGTTTGCCAACAGCTGTATAATGTTATTACTATTATTATTGTATTGATAATAATTATTATTATCATTACTCAATGTTTTTCAAAAACGGCTTTCAGGTGTCCGACCGATTGCGTGGATTCTATTGATTGCCCATTTTGTTTGACTAATACACTCACTTGAGATGAGTCGACGGTTTTTTATTCACACATAAGAAGTATTCGAGTGTCTTTCGCGCGACTCATCCGCATAATATTTAACTCTCCTTTTTTTTTTTAGTACAACAACGTTCGTGTCAAGAACAAAAAAAAATACATGCGAAAATCACGACGCCAGTTTTTTTTTTTTGAAATCAAGACAAACATTCGACTAGGATGGTGTTATAACATTTAGGTATATGTAGTCAACGACAGTCAATAGCTTAGGACGACGGCGTGGCTTGCTATAATAGTGATATAGAAATTAGTTTTTATTTGTTTTTTAACACTCTATTGTTTAACAATAGTACAATCAGATAAATATCCAATATCCGTGTTAATAAAATACCATATTTAGTTTGTTCCAAGAGTTAAAACAACAAAAATATAATTATTACTAGTTTTCCCTAGCCAATACTCTCAATACTCTCAACATTTTTCAACTAAGCTTGAACTTTCATCTAAGTAGAGTAGGTATATTTTGGTTTTTTTAAAAATTTATAATAAACATAAAGAAATAAGTTAAAAGTGAAAATAGTTGTAATATTAACGTAAAACGTTTGTTTAAAAGAAGAAAATACAATTTTTATTCTTATTTAAATAATAACACATAAATATTCAAAATGTCACAACTTGTAAATATTAATTAAAAAATATTAGGTTATTTAGTCTAGAGGTCCATACCTACTTATTGTACCAAAATACATTAAAAAGAATTTTTTAAAATGAGGAAAATCCGATAAAATAAATGTATTAAGAGTTTTAGTATTGAAAAATTGATATTCAAAAGATTTTTCTTATAGAATCTATGTATAGACTTATACTTAGAGGAGTGGTACGACTAGGGTGGTCAGTTGTAGAGTTTTGTAAAAAAATATCATAATATTGTTATAATTATGAATATCCTTAAAATGTATGTGTTTTCATACTCAAATGAAGACCACATATAGTGTGAATTATCTCTTAAAATGTGTTGTACTAATATTATAAAATAGTTACGTGTCAGTAAAAAATTGATTAACACCTCCCCACCCCCTCCAAAACTCTGAGTATTACAATAATGGTTTTAAAGAGAGATTTTTCAGATCAAAATGTATTTATGAGAATTAGTTATCAGGTATGTTATAACAGCTTCAGCCTATTTTTAGAAATGACTTCTGCGATAAGACAGCACTAGTCGATGGGTCATTTCTTCACGAGGGTTAAAGGGCTATGGCTATTTTGTATATATATATATATAATATTAGGTTCCGGTTTTGATCGAGGTTAAGGTTAAGTTCGCCTATACCTAATTTCAAATGTCTTATGTGGTTTATTGTAAAGTCTTACATATATAAATTGTACACAGAGATAGATGCACTATATGTACAATATTTGTTTTTAAACTCACTCTTGACAGGGTTTGTCTCCTTTTGTCTTTTTAATATGTCGACATTTTCATTTTATCTATTCAATATATTTTTTAGCTATCTACTTAACATTAAAAAAAATATATAGAATTGTTTGTTCGACATTAGTTGAAGTTATTTTGACAAATAATTAACGTTATTTTATATAGAAAAAAGGGGCTCAAGTAACTAAATCAACGCCTTGGAAAAATCTCATAATAATAATACCTTTGAGATGGTAAAAAATTCCCAAATTTATCGAGACAAGAATATTCAATACTTAGCTCTATCCGTTATACTATATTATCTTATAGTTAATTCTCAAGTACACACAAATTCTTTGAGTGTATTGTCTTAAAATATTAATGTTTTTTTTTTTAAAAAAACTGTTCCGTTTTATAGAAAATAACAACACATTATGTTGTCGCTAAAAATAAATAGAAGACCTATGTGGGATTGAACCAATCGAATTTTCAATTTATCAAGACAAAGTGGACACAGTGGACATATATTAGGTAAGTCAATTGTAAATTTTCGGCTTGGCGTTTTATATATTAACAGTTAAGAAGCATTACCTGAGCAGTGTTGCCGGCTGAGGTCATTTCGATTTTGTGACCGGCCAAAGGTCGAGGAATTTGCTGGGCTAAGGCCGCGGAGACAAAGTACACCAAAATAAATAGCACCAAAGTCATTGCTATTATTTTATTTAACAAAAAAAAAAAAAAAATATATCAAAATTTCACTCTAGATTCGTGCATTAATAATGATAATAATTTATCATTGGAAATCCATAATTGTTCACACGCGGCGGTTTAGGTCGGCCAGTTTGATGAATTCGCCTTTTGCAAGGTGTCGCACCAAAACAACACACAAACACAAACTGTCGTGTAAGTCCCCGTCGCTGAACACATACAATATACAGCAGAAAGGCACGTTCACAATGGGGAGGCATAACGTACAATAATATTCCACCACATCCACATTCACATTGTGAAACACACAGACAGACACACATTATACATGTTGTATTAAATAATAATAATAATATAATATAATGTTTTGGAGCTATTACGATTTCCACACCGCAGTCACCACCGTCTCGGCGTATCTGATCGCAGGTGCCCTAACAGAAGTGAAAGTGCTTTATAATATTATTATATTTGTTTCCTATACTCTAGTAGTAGTAGTAGTAGTAGTAGTGGGTATACTTACATACTTACTTAATTACTTACTAACGGCCGTTTGGTGGTATACTTCAGTCGTGCACAGCAGCTATCGCGTTATGAGATCATAGAACACAATATTAGCGCTATCCCACAGGACCTTTGCCCATACAGTTAAAATAAAAAATATTTAAATATATAGAGCTGTAACGCGGTATTATTATAATGTCTTGTACAGTGTGTTGTACTTTGTGTTGTGAAAAGCGACCGACAGTGTGACCACTTTTAAATATACCGTTGTTGACACTGCACGGTATCGCTCTTATCAATAATTATAATTAAGAAGGGGAGATAAATTAAAATTTCATATCGCGATAAAATCCGAACAGTACTGACGAGTGGAATCGTGTTTTGTATCGCACGGTTGCAGTAGTAAAACTATTTTTAAAATATAGGGAAATGTAATTTCGTTCTATTGGTCGCACTGCAGCTCGCATTTTCGAAACGGCCAAACAAAAATTATGCATCTGGTTTTTCATCGCCACAACAGAATTACAAGCCAGACACGTTTTAATTTAGAAGCTACATTAACTCAACTTGACCTTTCTTTAAAATGCTGTTGTTTTTACATAGTTACCTCTAATCAAACCTAAACCAGCCTGCTTCCATTTGGGGACAATCAACTCGCGAGCAGTCTTCAAATAATATATATATATATATGTTTTTGTTTAATAGTTTAACAGTTATTTATGTTACTTAAGTTACATAATATTATATTGGAGAGAAACGCAAGACACTTCGTGGAAAATAATTAAAATTTTAATGGTTTTTTTATTTTTGAAAGCATTTTTATTTTCGTTATTATATAATAATATCATTGATGATATTGAATTACCTTAGTTAACTTTATAAATAGCAGAAGAATAATGAAATTTGCTGGACAATTTGACTGGTAGATAATCAATTTTAAATAACAATTACTTTTATAGTTATTAAAGTTTAGGACTGAAGGGAGGGTGGAGTGAAGTATGATTTTTATCTGTGCACATTACTCGAGCGCACTTCACCTTTGACAATTATTCTTATAATTATTTTTATAGGAAATACTATTCTTATTTTAAATGCATATTATACCATTCAAGTCGATAGCACTCTGGAAAATTGGAAGACAATTAAAACTTATAAAAATAGAAATAATAATTAGTGTCTTACGTTAAATAAATCACTCGGTATTGTATACATTTTTAGAGATTTTAAAACATTTTTAACTGAAATCAAAATGTTTAAAGACTTGTGCTATTTGGCAATCACAACACATTTACTTGTTCCTATTTAGATTAGGGGTTAGGTTAGGCTAGTCGATTTAACTCTAATTTAAATTGCACTAAAGCAATGTAGGTATCGCATTTTTAGCTAAATTGATTAGGTTTGTCTGAGTTTAAGTTCGATTTTGTATTATCCAAACGTTTGCCTGAAGTTATTTTGATAGTTTTCAAATTAACACAGAACTGCGCCACTGTACCGTTGTGGTACGTTTGGAATCCGAGTGAAAAAACGATTGACATTATATTTTTATATTTTGTGTTCATTTGCCAAAAAGGATCACCTTGGTCGTAACAAAAAAAAAAAACAATCCAACCGTATTATATATTATTATAATATAGTAAGTGATACACTCCGGGCCGTATAGGTATGTGTGTATATAATATATTATTATTATTTTTATAATGACAACAATTCCGACAAAGGATGACGAAATTATCACACACGTTATTATTCAATTGGATAATTCCACCTATATGTACATACATTACACCTGTAACGCGATACTTGTCCTATATATATATATATATATATATATATATATATATATTTTACTATTTGAAAATCGACAATGTCTGTGGTTGTTGGTGCAGCACACAAATAAATAGGGCACGGACGATTATTTTTATCTAAATAGGACAAATACTTTAGTATTGGTTTCGATTTGATTGAGATTTATTTAATTTTTTTCAAATTAAACTGTTCATCATGTTATTGCAACTTCTTAACGAACACAATACAATAGGTATTCAGTTCAAAATTATTACTTTTAATTACAGCATTAGTCAATTCAATAGTGATATTTTTTCAAATCATAACAATTAGGTTAATCTCATAAAGCTAAATATTGTTTTATTTTGTAATATTCACACACTTTCTCATTTTAACAAAATTGATTAATTTGTTATGAGAAATAATTTTGATCAGGTTATTACCGGGTGATTATGAACAAAATGACATAAATGGAATAAGGAGGGGAAGGAGAGAGTATATGTTTTAAATCCAATCAAGTATGATTCGGTCGTATCGTTTTCTAAGCTTATACATTTTAGTCTACTAGAAACCAGCCTTTGGAAAAAATGCTAGCCAAGTCAGGGTGAGCATATAGACTTTTTTGATTTTTGTAAAGTTATAAGAATTTATTGGGGAAAAAAATGTGTTTACATTATAGCATACAACTATAAAGCTCTGCAATGAATGAAGTATACCGGATAAAGTTCTGAGACTTTCCGCAGCACATGTCTACGTGCCAAGGTTAGACCTAAACCAGATCCTGAATAACAAAATACAATTTTTAACCTTAGCTTCGATATTCTATCAGCTTAAGGTACAATTGAAAATTAGCAAGTCTACACGGTGTAACGCGTGGATTTTTGTTTTAAATTCAAAATCTTACACCACAATCCGATCAACCTGTATGTTATCTTATGCCTATCTTCTCAATATTAAAGGTAACTATTAAACTATTATTTCTATTACCTACCTTACTCGCAGGTTTTTGTTAAAAATCAAGAAAGTAAAAATCCAATTGCCATTTTCGCCCATTACAAAACTATTATGCAACCGACCCATTTCGTCCTTTCCGGTAGATTTACTATTTACGGTCGTTTCATTCGTCCGTACGGTACATACATGCTTATGACATATATATATTAATAATATATTTATACATACAACTGTGTATTTAAAAAACGCGTCGGCGATAGTTGAAGGTCTTCGGATAAAACCTAAAACAACGGGTGAAAAAATCGATGTGCTAAGCCCGAGCAAGTATTGTTTTTTTTTTCTTCTTTTTTTTTTAATAATCCAATAAACAGTTTTTTTTTTTTGTTGACGATATGATCGACGCCGTGTGTAGTGATGTATCTAGTCCGTCGCAGTTCTCGTCATGGACAACAGCCGTTCGGCTGGCAAAGAAAAATCCGTAAGTAGAAATCAGAATAGTTTATTAGGTACACAGTTTCTAGAAGATGAGACGAGAATCTTCTCTCCGTCTGTCTTTTTTTTTTTTGGAATCTTGTAGTTTAGCGCCTTGAAATCCTGAAATCCGAGTTTAAAGTCCTGTTATTTTGCTTTGAGGCCGACAAAACAACTGACAATATATTATTATGTCGACCGTTGTCGTTTAACCCAGTAGCTCCAACGCCCATTTTTGAAAACGACTCATCCCATAAACCACGACTTCCATTCAGAGTGTTGGCCGTCCTAGTCGAGTAGGTTGATACCTGTAATGCTACTGACAATTGAATTTACAATAGCTGCTCCTCCTGAAAACGAGTCTGTGATGGGCACTAGGTTTCACCGCAAGCACCAAGCTGTATACTAGGTTCCAGTATGCATATTTATGTTTTTTTTTTTTTAAATATAATACAAATTAGCCATTAGGTATTATTATTATTGTGTGTTAAAGGAGAAAACTCGGTTGCTAAAAAAAAAAAAATATTAGAAACCCAACGGCGGTGCTGAGCCCCGTGAAATCGTGCGTTAATCGAAAGTACAGTAATAATTATTAGTGACTGCTTTAATAGTACAATAGAACCGACTTCATAATATTATATTATATGATAATAACAACAACAACGATCGGTGGTGGCCGATCGATTCGGACCGGACGAATAAAATCAAATGGTAAACATAATAATAATAATAATATTAAAACCAAGTCATAAATCATTTTAATACACATTAAATTAACGATCATCGTACCCATAGGTAGTTAATTTCATTGCAGCACCGGCGATTATGTCGGCCTAACCTGCTGCTGCAGTATACCTCTAATTACTGGTGTAATACTTACTGGGCGGCGCACATAAACAACTTCAAAGTCAATGTATTACAATAATAATAGCGTATAATCCGGCAATAACATTATAAACGTTAAATCAATATGTCGGTGCATCCGACTAGCCGGGCCGGGAAGTGGCTATTAAAATATATTAATCACTCTCTCACCGTAATGATAGACATTAAAACATTCAAGATGTCACAAGCCTGTCTGTGGTCGATTAGCCCCGGCCGTCGGCTATAAATTCGGCATAAGGGACTTGATAAATACAACCGCACAAGTAACTAAACTTCTTCCAACCAGTCTAACTAATGTGACACCTAGTGTGACGAAGGGTTTTTTTGAAGGAGGCGGATAACATATTGTTATGTACTCAGAGCAATTGAAGAATGTAGTTGGATGATGTAAATGCGGTCAAGGAAAGTCCACATTGAATGAAAGAAAGGACAATTCAATAGAATCGTGGAAGTGGCTGATATTATGAGAGAGCCGAGATAAGAACCAACGCGAAAGAGACATTTTGAGAAATGGCCAATAGCTGCGAAAAAATGATAATGAATGAAAAGGGAGGAAGATCTATGATGTAGAGGCTTAGAGAAAGACCAAAGTGGATGGAGTCAATGAAGAATTTTTGAAGAAATAGGATTTGGTTGGCCGAAGGTGTGTCGCACGATTGAGAGACTTGTAATCATAAGCAGAGGCGTGTCGAACCTTGTCAAAATAGAAACTTTGGCAATGCTAGTGCGACTTCTCTGATTTTGGAAGAGAAGGATTGGGATTTAAAAAAATATTTTATCCGTTAGATTACAGTAAAAATGAAAGTAGGTACACTAAACTATTTGGGATGTCAATAACAGCAGCCATAACTATAATCTAATATGGTATTTGGTTATTTATATTATAAATCTCTATCGGTGCTATAGGTAAAGAGTCAATGAAAGTGAGATAGAGGGTTGAAACAGAAGATAGACTGATATAGATAAAGGAATTAGGATGTAACTTGTTATTTAGTCAACTTACTTTAGCAAAAGTTGGAACGACATTTTATCCAACGATTAAATCACAACCGTTTGCATGTTTGTTCTTTTTTGTTTTACTATAGCTGCCTACACGCGATGGTTGTTATCAAAGAGCGGATTTATTGGTTTTGAAAAGTTCTCAAGTTGGTCACACTGTTTTATTTGAATTTGCGCGGGGAATCAGATATATAATAAACTAGATCGTTAACTTAGTGATAAGTCCATTCATGTGGGATTTATGTGTGTATAAAATAATATGTATGTATCTGTGTGATTTTGTGCCATCGACTTAATATTTTAACTGTCATAAACAGTGATAGCAGCTGTTATAAACATGCGATGAGGTTCTTATTGCCACAAAGATGGCAGCAACGATATAGAAGAAAGAACTTACAAATCCGCTCTCGAGTTAGTTATTATTATTATTATTATTATTATTTTCCCTCTTCCAATGTGTGTGTGTGTGTGTGTACAACGAGTTTGTTACCAGATTTTGGCCTGAATTCCATTTTGGATCCGGCGACCATTGCCAACGGCCGTCATACACGTCTTTTGGTGCACACAATATGACATTGACTGTCTTCCCGCGGGATCATCTACACACGTCTGGAACTGTCAAAGCTGTCCCGGCCACTCCGGGGTCGTTAATAACGGCAACACGATTGTTTGTGTCGTGTTTATCTATCGTTTCGTTTCTTTTTAATTTAATAATCTCCAAGTTATTTTCGGCGCGCATCCGCCATTGAAATTGAAATCAAACATGACCGTTACACGCGGCACGCTATGACGGTTTTATAACGCGAGGCATGTTTGTTTTCAAAATAAATTTTAAAAAATGGCCAGTAACCAAATTTCACATTGACATTGGTTGCTTCTGTTTCGCTAAAAGCAATCTAATCGTCCGCGAGTGGTCGTACAAAAAAGCTCGCAAGACGCACTGATTAAAAAAAAACGCACAAAAAATTAATTGCCAAAAAAAAAAAATTGATAATCTAACGGAGAAACCGATTGAAATAAAAGTTTTTTAGAAAAAAAACACACACGACGTTTGTATAAAAAAAAACATATTGAAGATTCTTTCGTGCACCACAATCTATTTTTATTTAATTTTTTGTAATTAAAATAATATTGGATTGAAATCTCACAAATCAAACTTATGTATCAAATGTCATTCAGTCTGGCTATTTTTTTAGCAAGTCTACCTAATTAAAAACATTTACTTGTTTTTTGGGGGCTTTCACTCTTTTAGTCTCCTTGGTAACTTTCTAAATAAATATAAAATCCGTATTATCTAGCATAAATCAGCATTAATTATTGTTATCATAACGCTTGGTTTATACAAATTATACTTCTAATTAATTAATTCAACCCCGTCAACGATATTTTTATCCGCATGTGAAAAATATGTATATAAATTATTCATTGGGCGATTAATACTCGTGATAAAATCTGATTTTTCAATGTTTCAATGAAAACATAACGTGAAATCATGCTAATAAATTCTTTTCAATTAGTTACCATCGTTGAATGACGGTTCGTTTGGTTGAATTTGGTTACAATTAGATTTCAAAACGTCTGTGTTTATCTTATCCTAATCTTGTATTTTGTTATTATATTTTTGAGTCTGTGAAAATTATGTGATTTACATAATTCCAGTATACAGTATAGAATATTATACTTAAACGTATTGTATTAGTTCAATATGTAAAATTTAATTGAAAAAAGCAAATTTGACTCCCAATAGCGTCCTGTAGTGCCATAGCTGTATTTATTTACAAAAACCTATCCAAATTTAAAAAAGTTGTTATTAAAAGTTTACCGTTCATAAGTAACCGTTGAAAAATTAATTTTTTTATTCCAAAATAAAAAGTAACTCAGGACTGAAAGGGTCGAGTGGACTTTTATTCCAAAAACGACTGTTTCAAAAACACTTCGGTTAAAACGTTTTTTTTTAAACTTAACTTACTGACTTGCTTACACCATTCACTTGGACCGTACTTGTCTTAGGATAACGTCGACTTGGACGAAGTTTTGCCCATCGTCGGAGAGTTTGGCCGGTACCAAAAGTTGCTGTTGTGGTTCGTGTGTCTGCCGGCATGCATCCCTTGTGGTTTCGGTGCGTTCAATCAGCTGTTCATGTCCGACGTGCCTCCCCACTGGTGCAGGGTGCCGGAATTGTCCAATTTCACTGCAGAACAGAGAAGGTCGATTTACCAACAGGTTGGTGGTACCTAATAATAATAATAATAATAGGTACATCACAGTGTTAAACAGCTACTTAATCAAGTCTGAGCCAGAAAATTTAACGAGAAAGGGCTATTATATGTTTACCTACACTGTGCATGTCTAAACGTACAGTTTTGAGGTTTAACACGGTACTTACCACAAGCTATAACTAGTTCACTAACAAAACTTAAAACATGATAATATATTATGTTTCCACCACCCTCTTTGTTCAGTCAAAAGGTGCCATAAGGAGAAGACATTCGATATCAATTTAATTAAATCAGCAATACTGGAAGCTTATAAATACTAAATAGCAAGTCACTTGCCAATAAACAATACTAATGTAAAGTTGTCTCTCTTTCCAAAAAAAATAAATCAAATATTTTTAAATTAAACTTTTATCGGTTATCACTCTTCAGTATTTACATACCTAATTTACAAAATGGCCACCATCGTGAACATGTTGCCAATTTTTAGTTACTCTAATTATATTCATCAAGTCCGCAAAAAAAAAGGAGTTGTTCAAGTCAACTCTAAATCAACTCCGGCTTAATAAAATCCGTATTCAGTTAATTATGCAATGTTGACAAATTGTTTTTTGTCGATTAATGAAAATGTTGATAATGTAATCATCAAATTAAGTCATATAATGATGACATGGCGTTCGGGTTGAACATAATGCCAACCTAACATAATTAACTGAATATGGATTTTAGAGTGGATTAAGAGTTGACTTGAGCAATTCCTTGTTTTTGCGGACTTATTGAATTTAACTAAGTAACTAAAAATTGAAGTGTCCTATCCTATCCCGGTAGGCCTATCCTTATGGTACATAATATACTTAAACAGTTATTTAAAACATAGAGTTATATTATAAAGAGATGAACTAACGTGTATTGTGTGCGATAGTGAAGTAAACAAAATGACTAAAACCAGTGTGGCTACACAAAAGAAAAAAAAAGTCTTAATTGTTGAGCGGTTGGTACTGTTTATGATGAAATATGTATTCACTCCTTATCTTAAAATATTATCGTTTTTCCAAGATTGATACTGTTATCATTGATTTGTTATCAACAAGATTATCGAACGATATTTTTTATTTTATTTTACCCAAACAGACTGACTTATGTCGTTTAATCAACTGTGATAATAATTAATAAATAATATTATATTGTTCTAGAACGGAAGCGTATTAAGAAAATAACTTTCTTTTCGGACGCTCGTCGAAAACCATAAACCGATGTGTTTTGTAGGTTTTGCCATTGGAAAAGACTGACATAATAATAATAATATAATATAATTAGCGTTATTATTATTAAATACAGTGTCTCGTGCACAGCTTGAGTCCGACTGTAAGTTTCTCATTTTGATCTGGCCAAATAACAAACAATAAATACTATAACTAGATATTGCCCATTGTCTCCGGATGATAATAATAGTAATAATAATAATTCTCTTTTTGCGTCACCATTGTGCCGGCACTTGTTGTTGACAGATCTGCGTGATAAATCGTTGTCGTGTGTCGTATATTGGTATTGGTCAATGAATTATTATAAATATTATATTATATACTATTTCATTATCATATTATATTATACATGCAACTGCATTACACAAAGTAATATTATTGTATCGACACGGATTTTTCAACAACCGAGTATTGCTATTGAGATGATTGGTAGTCAGTTTTAATTAGGCAATATTTAAAAACCAAGCGGTCTTAGTAAATTTCCACCGTGTCAGTTTATTATTATCAGATTAATTGAGGCGCTCAGATGCCAAACCGATTAACTCTCCATTTTGTTTTTAAATTGCGAATAATAGCATGGTTGGATTAAAAAAATGTATAATTTTCAGTGGCCAAGACAAATAATTCCATAGTGGAATTTTTCACCACTAGAGTGCGCTAAGTACATTGGCAATTGTACTTACACGCATTGTTTCGAATAACTTTAACTGCCTGTCCTGGAAAACGTTCATTTTATGGAATTAATCGTTTTGGCAACTGAGCGCCTCAATTGTCAAGTAGATTTATATGAAACCGATTTGCCCTTTTCCAGAGCAACGCGACTCAAGTGAAGAACGGATGCATGAGGTACGCTGTTAATTGGACGGACCTCCTTAAGGATTCGGACCGTGTCGGCGATGACTTGCAAATGCTGGTGAACCAGAGTTGGCCCATTGAAAAATGCCTCGACGGTTGGGAGTACGATACCAGCGTGGTGCAGTCTTCCATCGTTATCGACGTGAGGACTAATCTTTGTTAATTGTTATTATTGAACATTTGGACGTGAACGGGCTATGGTTTGTGACCCAATGGGGAGCTGGGAAAGGGGAGGAGGAGATGGGATAATTCCTGGATAACCTCGACAAGAGAATCGGTTGATCATAAGACACTATATTGTCCATTGTCTCTCCTTCGAGGGAAAGGTCGAACCGGGTTTGAATCCGACCTGACCTGGCCATTACAAATGCAGAGTCTAGACCAGCCAAATTAATAGAATAAGCTTACTTACAAACCAATTGTTTTTGGAGTATAAGATGGCAATTGGCGTAAAGGAGATGTGCGCTAAAACACATTGTGATGAAAGGCTAAAGAGTTGAACGGGGTTATCGCGGAAAATCAATTTGGATTTATGACAGAAAGATCTACAATGGATGCCAAACGTATGTCATGTTTATGGCTCAGATAATTAAAATGGTCAGGTTCAATGTAGTATTGATCGTATTATTATTATTACTAAATGAATACGCTAAAAATGACTGGGAAAACGCCGTTTCGACCACACGATTTGCTTACTTATTTAATTAACCTAACCTATTTGTTTTTTTTAATAAGCTATTTTGGATTGCCGCAATATAAAATTTTGTATTTGAACAAATAGAATACAAATAAATATTATCACTTATTCCATTCAAAATTAAAGACTTTGGAGCAAAAATTGGGTTTTTGGAGGAGATATTGCAGAAAAGTAGCTGGAGACAAAAACTGGCCATTACAAATGCAGCCAAATTAATCAAATATGTTTACTTACAAGACAACTGTTCGGTAATGAGGAGGGTTTAGAACAAGAGTGGCAGAGTTAGTTTAGGAATGTTGAGAGGACAGAGGAGAAATTGTAAAACAGACAAGAGAGTATAGATTGGGATTTATATAGGTAGACTTTGACCGAAGAAGATGTGAACAGCAGAATGACATCGAGCGAAGAAATGTGAAAGGGATAAGATTTCGTTGGCCGATACTATTTATATGGGATTAGGCAATAGATAGAAGAAGAAAATGTATTTTTGAACAATTTTTGTTGGTCTTAGAATGATTGTATTTTGTGACTTTTAACAAACCATGTATTTAATTGCCCCTTCTTGGATAAATATTCTATCTTGAAATTATTAATTGATCAATACTGTGTCTGTGTGTATATTTAAAAAATATTATAAAAATTAATTATTTTTACATATGAGTAAACGAAAAAAAAAAACTCATAATATGGAAAAATGAAATGTAATGGAAATTCTAAACAACACTCCTTAACTTCTCGGCCAACACGGAAGTTATGTGTGGTGAACGATAAATTATTATTAGTCGATAGGCGTGTTGCGTTCTCTCATCCGGGAATTGTTGTATTATTATATTGTTATCGAACATTTACATTTACATACACCTAATGATATTATACAGCGGCAGTCTTGGGCATCAACGCCTATTATAAACTAAACATAAAGCTAGCAACACAATCACACCAGGCTGGTTCGGTACATTAAGTAAAACATTTTGGCGGACACGTGGAGAGATAGGAGTAGATATTCTTGTGGAATATCTACTAATTACTACAAGCTTGTGGCTTGTAGTAATTAAAACAAAATAACCATCAAACCAGCTGTTTATAAGTCAAGTATAGCTTAGCCGCAAATACCGATGAAAAATATTGGTATTCATGCCTAATCATCACTGTACATTTTTTTAAAAAAAATTGCCATAACAAAATAATATATTATTTTGTATAAAAACAAAACGATTATTTTAACAAACAGTAAAGTTGACTACTTATGAAATAAGAATAACAAAAATAAATAGAATACAATTGACAACATGACGCTGGTTATCAATTAACACCCTGTATATTGGTGAAGTCGACTGTACACATTTCAAAAATGTCCTGCTGTGTATTATTAGTGTCCTACTGCTTTGGAAAATAAAACCTGCACAACATTATAGGGTCATTCCACGTGAAATCACCTAATGGGTGTGCGACTGTACTTAAAAAATGTTTGAAATTTTTATCATACATTCTTTATAGGTCTTTAATAACAAAAAAATTAAAAAAACATTACCTAGGTAGGTCAATTTTTAAAAAAAATTATCCAAAAACACCTCATGTTCCTGACCCTGTAATTTAACCGCCGATAGTGGTATGAACATGAAACCTGCACAGTATAGTTAAAATTCGAATTAAATGTACTTTAACCAAGTTTTAAGAAAATATATTTTTTTTTTTTTAACCCTAGAAATTTTTTTTGAATTTTTGAATTTATCAAAAACTTTTTTTGGGGTCAAACAGTTAAAAATTAAAAACAAATATTTGGTTTTTATAAAATTTAAGTTATATTCTTATGATTCCTGTCATCTTTGAACCAATTAAGTTTTTTTTTGCCATTAATTTACGGCTTCAAACATGGGTATTTTGCTGAAAACTACCTACTCTAATGACCCACAACACGAAAATTTTCCAAATTCACTTATAATTACTTATAAGTGAGTAGAACATCTGGTAAAAGTTCATCGTCGCAGAATTAATGGTACACAATTGCGTATTTTGATCAGACGCCATACCTCAGAACCAGTCGAGTGGGATCAAGAATTCTATTTTAAATTTGTCCTGGGAAATTTTGAAAAGTGCACCTGAATATTCTATCTGCCTCTACCTCTAGCAATGTTAAAAGTCTGAAACATTTGGTCACAATAGCGTTCTCACCTAATAGCCCAAAACGTAGGGTTGCACGTGCACTTGAGCAATTTCTTAGCGCATTATTGTTATTATTATTATTGCTACATCAGCTGTTGTTTTGGCCAAAATGAAACCAGAACGGCATCAGAGCTCGGTCGGACAATCAATTGGATCGTCTAGCCGGCGTTATAATTACTATCGGTATCCACCTGAGGTTATAATAATAATAATATCGTTATTGTCGCATGTCTATACTATACTTACTTAGCATGTATATATCTATATATATATATATCGTCAATGAAAAGACGTTGATCGACTTTCTTGGATCCGAAACAGTCGAGCCGTTACGGTGACGATAATAAGGACAATTATTATTAATATTACATTTTACACAGGCCGCACTTGCACACACACCACACCCATATATACATGTATAAATGATTATTATATGCTCAACGCGGTTGTACGCATTCGAATTCCGGCCGGAACTAAGTTGTTGCGCAAAAAAAAAAAAAAATTAAATAATAATAATAAAAAAAAAAACAAAAAATGACTATAACAATCGGTTTCTTCCGCATAATTAACGATAATACAGCCGTTCACTTCAAGACGGCCGACCGGTTTGTAAAACGAGCAAAGCCTAAACTAAAAAAACCTTAGTGAAGGATCAGAAAAATACATATACTGTTTATGTAACAGCTTGTTTGAAAAAAGTAATTTAAACGATGCAAAACATAAACGTCTACATTTTATTATGTTACATCAGTCTATGTCACGTTAACCATTAATAATAATTATTAATTGTTATTATTTTAAATGTGATTTCAAACTTACATTTGCGAAAATATCCTTCGAACAGTAATTGTAGGTAATAATTAAGGTATTTTTTTTTTTAGACTGATGTTATTTATATTTTTGTATTGTTTATAAGTATTAAAAATTTTCTGGAATAAAGAAAACATTATGAATTGAAAATTCGACATGTACTATTGTCTTTGGTTTACTCAACGTTTGAACTACGGAAAAGGAATTGAAAATTTCATTAAAAAAATTATAAACATCCAAAAGTAACTGTAAACAAATGATAAAACCACTATTTTTTAAAAAATACAAATTTTTTTTAAAAAAAAATACATCAAAATTTTGTTTTTGGCGTATGTGTGTTTAAAGTATATGCAAACATTTCTCCTCAATTTCTAGATCAACCCCTAAAATACCATCTCAAAGGGTTAGTTTTCAGTATAATAAAATGGAATTCTACAAATAGTATTTGAATTTTCCCCAAAAATCGAACGCTTTGTAATTATTTCGAATAAATTTTTATGATTTTTCCTTACCTTTCAAAACTCAAACGAAAACGTTGTCAGGAAAATGTCCAGTTTTTTGATCCCTGAAAAGACGTGGCTGCTTTAGAATGTTACATAGAATTGTTTGGTAAAAGTAACAACGCACATCTGTCTCCGACTTATTCAAATACCGTCAGAACACATGTATAAATAATCTTGTAAGCTGTTGAATAAAAGCATTGATGCGAACAAGAACGAGAAGAAAACCACTATATCCTGAAATAAACCATGAGCCTCAAATGCAACAGTTGTGACCAATGTAAAACGACCAAACGCAATAGCATTAATATCCCTAATGTAATGTTAACCACCAACGGTGTTGTTAAATAATAATGAGTAAAATACCGTTGCAGTAATAATATAATAATAATAATAATATAATTACAATTAATGTATAACAACCGTATGTATAGAAACGATAAGGATGTAATTAAATTATTTTTAAAAGACAGCAAAGGTAAGGTGTTTTTTGGATAATTTTTAAGTAACTGAACAAATACTTAACATGGAAATTCTAAAACGTAACACAGCTAATAAAATATATTTGGCTAAGCCGAAGAATTTTGTTTTTTTTTTTTAATATCGTTTATTTTTTAATATAAAACATGTACTGACGTGTAATTTCTAAGAATAGCAAAAAAAAAAAAAAAATCGTACGTCTATTTCCAGAGAAACTAAATTAAGAAACGATTCACGATAGCGATAAACATATTTACATAATATATTTAAAACGAAAAAAAACTATTTAAACAGTAAATAAACTATTTTTAACGGGGGGAAAAAAAAAAATCATAAATTCAATTTTATATTCAATAAATTATATCACTGCTAACAGCTGACGTGTGGGAGAGCAATGCTGTTTGTACGGGTTTGTAACCCAAAAACGTTGATACTTGCTTTAAAAAAAAATTATTATAATGCGTTTTTATCGCCATGAAAATTGACGCAAAAAGACATGACTAGACTGAAAGAATGGCGTTTGTCTTGTGGGACAAGCCGTTAACAGATATGGAAGTAGGCGATTGGCAAGATCGGTGTTTGGATGCAAATCACATATATTCTAATAATGTCTTACAATATTATTTCAAAAGAATTTGGGAAGTTATTGGTGTATTTTTTTTTTTTTACAGTTTGATTTGGTCTGCGACAGGGACATTTACCCCACTTTCGGATTGGCCGCGCTGAACATTGGCGGGCCCATCGGAGTGTACTTTTTTGGAGTTCTAAACGACAGGCGAGTGAGATGATACAGCAAATACACACTGTACACTGGTCTCGTTTGGGCTTAACCAAAGGGATGCATTTGGTTTGGGTATGCCGTAAGAAGCGAAGACGGTTGAAAACGGGTGGGAGAGTTTTGGGGGTAGAAGACGGTTTTTTTTTTTTGGAAATACATTTTTTTTTTCATGCAGATGTCGTGCCTGTCTTACAGGTATGGACGGAGGAAATCATACTTCTTGTGTTTGGCCACTTTGATTACTGGCAGTCTTCTGACGGCCAGTGCGACCCATTTCTGGTGGTGGGCCGCTTCGAGGATGATCGTCGGTTTCACCATACCGGCTGTATATCAAATTCCGTTTATAATATGCAAGTATACTTAAATATTGTTTAGACTTACCCTTGTATAAAGGTCGATATCGATAACGATAAAGATGCATTTAAAGTATATCAGGAACAAACAAAACGGTGTACAAAAAAAAAGAAATCGTTCAAAGCCAACTATCCGACACGAATGAAATATATATAAATGTATATTTTCTGATTTTTAAGTGTTTTTTTTGTTATTAAAAACATATTTTTTTTTTTTATTGAATACTGCAAATTTTACGTTGCAGCGGTTATAAATAAAACCGAGAACTGGCTATGGTCACTGGATAAAAGTCTTAGGTGGGATAAGAGCTATAAAAAAAAACTTAAGCTATAACGTTTATTATATATATATATAGTTGTCGTATTTAGTTTACATAATATAATATCTTACACGTGTAATCCTTGGCGATAAAGTTTTTTTTATATTTATTAAACATACACATAAAAAAAATTGAGCCAACAACTGTTGAGAGTTGTGTGTAAGTATAATAATAATTTTTATATGCAATTATTATTAACGGCTCTTCAAAGTTTTGTTATTTTTAAAAAAGAACATTTTACGCTTTAATTATTTAAATGTTTGGTCACTATGAATATAGGTAGGCTGGGACCGAAAGAGTTAACTCTTCAACACCTAACCAACCTTTAACACCTAACCTCCAGATTTGTATTCCAAAAAAGGTCTGATTATAGCCTTGTATAACGCGAGCTTGTCGTTTAAGGATAGGACGAGAGTTGACTATTTTTCCTTTGGCTTTTAGATGGGTCCAAACTAGACCGAGACGGTTCACTTCATTTACGGTCGAGAGTGGGTGCGTTGCTTATGAATACAGCTGTTGGACAGTGAATTGGTCTCGAAGAAAACGTATTAAAGGGAGATTCAGATTCATGTGGTTCAGGAGCCTTTGAATGTAAGATACCTAAGATTTAGGGGTGTCACTGTCCTGGGGAATTCCAGCCAGTATTGGGTAAATCGTGCAAATTGTTTGCTCGGGCTACTAATGTTTTATGATTCTTGGCGGGACTTTACTTAACTTTGGAGGCCCAAATCCTTATCGAAGGCTCGAGCCACATCTTTTGAGTTAGGATTGACTATGAGGACAACACGGGTCATGCATAGCACTTGTTGTTCTGACCACTTGCTCCTCGGTTTCAGCTCTTGAACTGGTCGGCCCCAATTACAGGTCGTTCATCACGGTGATGACGTGCATGTTTTACACGCTGGGCTTGGTGCTGCTGTCGGGCATCACGTACTTTGTGCGCGACTGGACGTACCTGGCTCTGGTCACCTCGACGCCGTTCAGCCTGTACTTTATTTACTGGTGGCAAGTAAAGAGAGAGACAATGACCGGAAATCGCACGGCCGAGGCTCATCATTGACCATTTTGTTTCCCCGTGTGGCTATTGCAGGTTTCTACCGGAATCGCCCAGATGGCTTTTGGCCAAAGGCCGGCTGGAAGAAGCGCTGAAAATACTGGAGACCCTGGCCAGGGTCAACGGCACCGTGTTGCCGGACACGTTCAAGCAGAAACTCAAGGTCGGAAACGGCTAATGAAACCGCAAACGGTGAATAATAATTCTCTATTGTGTTTTGCACGCAGCAAAAGATGATGATGCAGAGGACGTTGAGCGAAGAGCGCCGTCTGAAAACGGGGCCCGGCGTGTTTGCCCTTTGCCGGACGCCTAACATGCGATTGAAAACGATTCTCATAACGTTCAATTGGTCTGTACCGCAGCTAGATGAATCACTAATTGCAGAAAGGGCTAAATCCCAATAAACTGTCCAGGGCCCGTTCTTTTCCGCACCTAACCGTTTTAGATTGTCACAATGCAGGACATGTCTGCAATTAGAGATTCGCAGTATTATATTTTGTTCGTTCGATTATATTATTACATACATTGTGCAGGTTTGCCAACGACATGGTGTACGTCGGGTTGAGCTATTACGGACCTTCGCTCGGCCAAAACCAATACCTGAGCTTTTTGTTATCTTCCATCGTGGAGGTGCCCAGCTACTTGGTCTGCTGGCTGCTCATGGACCGTTGGGGTCGCCGATGGCCTCTGTGTCTGGCCATGACGCTGAGCGGTCTCAGCTGCATCGTCACCGTTACTCTTCCTACAGGTACGAGTCGACACGATTTGAAGCAGTAGCTTAGGCACAATTTTCCTATGGGAAGTGGTATGCAGTGGTATGTAAATCTTGCCCTTATGGCTGGACCAAAAAGAGAGAATTATGATTTTTTTCTTCAAGAGGATTGAAAGCGGTCTGTTTTGATTGACGTTTTAGACTTAAAGGCCTGACATAATTAAGTAATCGATTTTTGATGTTTCAATTGAAATTGGGATTAAATTATATTTTAACTTCTCAAATTTTTAGTATACACTTGCTTGGCCTTTTTTTTAAGTAAACGAAGCAGTTATTCCAAAAAAGCCCAATGAGCTCAAATATTTTTTTTCTCCTTCTTCTACTTCAAGGCGTTTCGCAGGTCGTTTAGGCTCATTGCTGGTCTCTGTCCCTAGCCAGTTGTTCCCCGTTATCCGTTCTTAACCACTCTATCCTTCATCCATCTTTGTCCTCTTGGCCTTTTGTGCTCTCAAATATTTGTACAGAATTAAAATTCGATGGGTTTGAACAGCTATTTTTGCAATTTTCGACTCTCGCGATCATTTTGATTTTTTTTTTAAATTAGACAGATGAAAAGCTCGGCATTTTTACTATAAAATATTATGTCAAATTAAGAGTGGGGTTGGGACATAGGCCTGGATAGCCTGCGCTTAAGTACGGCCTTGAGTAGGTATAACACACACACAGTATACACGATCAGCGATAAGCTATGTATTTCTTTTTATAGGACTTTATAGAACCATCACAGCTAGATTGGCTTGGCTGCACGTTCTATTGCAGCCTAATACGATTAATCGTAAACTATGTATAAAGTTGGCAAATTTGAAAAATAAACATGACTAATAGAAAGCTTAGAATTATTATAGTCAAAAGGTTTTATATCTAAAATAAATTAAAAGCATTTTTTTTTCCACAAAACAAATGTTTACATTGTTATAAAGGACAAAGATTCGATATTTAAAATAACAGTAACACAGTTTTTTGGGCTAATGATTTACTTTTCAGCGTAACTTGGTTGTTTTGAAAAATAAAATCATTAAATCAAGTTGGAAAATAACGTCTAAAAATGTACAGGAAAAAACGTTGGTTGATTTAAAATTCGACCAAACCGAACACAAATTTAAGATAAAAAAAAATCCATTAAAGGCAACTCTCACATGTTATTTTCAAACATTTTTCCAACTTTTTTTTTTGTTTAAGTAAAATAGATTTTTTTTGGTAAATTAAATCAACAAAATCCGTTTACAGTTTGATTAAATAATGCAGCTTGTAATAAGATAAAATAAATAAAATTATTGAAACAAAAGTATCTACTTCCAATTGTTAATCAATTTAATGATGTCAGTTTTAATGCTATTTAAATTATTACTATCGTTTAATAGATGATTATAAAGTTTTGTACCTACTTGATAGACTCTTCATGAAAACCCTCCATAATAATATTATTATTATAAAACTATTTAAGTAGTGATGTGTAGTGAACAAGCGGTCAATTGCAGATGTGGCGTAACACAACTAGAGAGCGCGCAGTCTATCGTTATGTTGTTTTTATTTTATTATATTTTTTTTTTAAATTTGGTTTTAAGTTTTTTCACCTCGAATTACAATCTATAAAAATATTCAACTAATATACGTTTTCGCTTTGACCGTGTCAATATTATCTCACAATAAACCGAAGAAACGCCACTGCAACATACTAATAGTGTATTACAGTGGTTTTTTGATAGGTACATTTTGTTGGTTGTGTCGCATTTACCGTTTTGGTGAATGTGAACAAAATCCAAGTTTGAAGTTTGAATAATAACGTCCAACAAAATAAACTTAACTACTTTAAAACGGCAATAGCTTAGTGTCTTACCTACTTGCGTTGAATTGATCACCCTGTATGTGCGCACATTGTCTATGAAATATGAGTGATTTTTTTTCTCGGCCAACAATTTGTTCTAGATGCTGTTACAACAACGCTGATATTGTTTTTGTTTTCCAAGTTCACCATATCGGCTTCGTTTCTGATCATCTATCCTTTTGCCGGAGAACTTTACCCCACACAACTCAGGGGTGTCGGAATAGGAGCTTCTGCTTATATCGCCGGACTCGGACTGATCTTGATACCGTTCATCAATTACCTGGTGAGTGCAACACCTCCTCAGTGTTTTAGAATATTTGTTTACTAAATGGAAAATAAAATAAAATATTTATACAAACAAATCTAACCACATCCAAAACAATCCACTACCCCAAACGAATCAAGTTAAATACTTAGGTTCACGTTGTCTTGACAAACGCCCAACTTGGAAAGACCATATTACAGCAGGAAAAAAAAAACAATTAAACGCCAGACTACGTCCACTTCGTCCTCTTTTGCGTTCCAAACTGAATCTCTAAATCAAATTACTCATTTACCAAACTGTTTATCAAATAAGACCCAGCACTGTGATCTCCAAATCGTTTATGTAAACATGATCACTAAAAAACTTCATAATAAATTCAGCACTCGACCCATTCCCAACATAAACTACCTCTCTTCTAAATCATATCCCAGATGATAATCCACCAAGAAGGTTAAAAAAGAAACGGCGCAGAGACCTCCTTTGAATAAATCTTTCACTCTAAAATAAAGTAGGTAGCTCCATTGGGTGCCCTCCTACATCATATCATAGTGATGTGGACTTGTGATTAAATTTTAGACTATTTTGTGTACAATTTGCATCATAAACGTTGGTTTTCAAATGGTTCTTTTGTTTTGGTTAAAATCTTAACACACTGAGAACCGTTCTAAATTGGACAAGAGCCAAAATAGCATTTAAAGTACTCCGAGAGCTTTTCGGACGGAAAAAAATGTTTAACAGTTCGTTGACTATATTTATGATGGATTTTTTTTTAATTTTTATTTTCATTTTGTAACCGTTCCACCAAAGACGCACAACGCGATAAGTGTACACAACGTCTTATATTTCTTTGCCATTGATTCGCGTCGGTCAACTTCGGAATGTGTGCCAAAATAACAACTGGTGATTAACAAAATATCAATTAGACACAACAAATAATTCAGGTTAAATATAGGAGTTAATAAACACACACACACATATGTATAGAAGTGTGTTTACATATATATACATATAATATATGTTTCCAATCGACTTGAATGATTTGAAATAAAAAAAAAAACAATTGAAAAAAATGGAACAATCATGGCGTGAGGTCAAAAACCTAAGCGACTAAGGCCTAAACGCACAACTGTATAAACAAAATAGAAAAAAAAAATAAAAAATAAATCACTCAATCGAGTATTGTATAATACGTTAACGGTCAACCAGTAAAAACAACAAAATAACATTTCAATTTAAGTCTGTTTATGTTTTATTAGCTGTTGTTAATTATGAGACGGACAAGTATAATCGTTCGGTACAGACCCACTTTTTCAAATAGCAACCAAAATTATTTTAAACCAATAGAAATCGGTTAAGTTTCTATGTACACGGAGTGTGCTATGTAAAAAAAAATACTAATAATAATGAAATAAAAAATAAAATAACAATTTATCGTGTTCGGTTGAAGACAGTAAATATCAACAAAAATAAAATCCCTTTTTTTGGCACCTGTAAAAAATAATTAAAATGCCCTAACAGCCTAATGAATACTAATTAAAATAACATTTCTGAAATTTAAAATTCTACTTTTACCAAGATGATATTATGTATCTCACGAAGAAACTTATTTATGCCAGATTTTGATCCACCGTATACACAATTTCTCCGGAGAACTGTTGACACAGAAACATAACATATATTTCTATTTCAGTCCACCCTTGTAAAATATTATGTAACTAACTAATAGTGTGTATTAAATTTAACTATTATCGCCCCATTAGACATTTCTGCGGATAAAACTACTGTTTGTATATACATTTTTGGAAACGTATTTGATTTGGCAGAGAGAAACCAATATTTTCTATTCAAAGTGGCGTTGCCCACCGTTTGGGTTGCCAAAGCATATACTATTCAATGTACAAATACACAAGACAATTTTAAACAATAAATAAACGCCATTAACTGTGCAGGAAAACAAATACAAAATATATTCATTCGGTGTTTTCTATTTTTTTTTTTTTATATACATTGACAACGATTACAACACAATCTGTCTGGGACAATATTGTTTTCAATTGAATAATTATTGTTGTGTTTTGTTCTAACCGACAGGGCCGTGAGAACCTTGTGCTGCCACTGTTGATAATGGGCATACTGTCGGTGATTGGCGGCATAACCGGGCTAAGACTACCGGAAACGCTACACTACAAGCTGCCCCAAACCGTCGAAGAGGGCGAGGAATTCGGCAAGAACTGGACCATGGCCGACTGTATCAATTGCATACCCAAAAAGTGAGCCGTTCGCGCAAACTAGAGGAAGGGTGGGGGGGGGAGGCTAAAGAAGTTCAGACCAGGGGAAAAAAAACTCGGTAAGAAAAAGGAAAAAAGTGAACCCTGGTACATAGGACCGTGGAAATGTCTTAACTACACACAGTAAGAGGACCCCGGTACCTACTTGTCTTGTATCTAATCTTTCATCTCTTGTCTCCAATCTCTCCCCCCCCCCCGAGTCACAGGACATATCCACGGTGAATCCCCCAAACCTAATTACTCGGGGACTTGGCCACCTTGCCCGATTTGAACTTCCCTAGCCCTCCCCCCTCCCCACTGCCCAGTCGCGCCAATGTACACGACTCGACTGTGTCTAATTGTTGCATCTTGTCTTTTGGCGTGCATTTATTTTTTACACACAGACCCGCCGAGCACACCGATTCGTACGAAGACCTGACCGAAAACTTGGAAATGTCACAGACCGCCGAACCGTCCACCGGACTTGTGAGGAGCCGGTCCAAGTTTACCCGGCAACAGAGCACCATGGAAACGCCCCTGGACTCGGCCGGTGTGGTCAAAATGACTTGTTGGTATTGACCGCCACAACGAGGGACTGGAAAATATGCTTGTTTTTGTCCTACTGCAGTTGGTAGTTAAAGTCGGATAAAGTCTGTGTCAATAAACTACAAACACAATTGTTTATTCCGGAAACTTGATTTGTCTTCTAAAGTACTGAAAATCCCCTTTTAAAGCAAACGATTAGTTGCAATCGTGTAGAAAAAGCCCATAAGATATGATTTTTTCAAATCAAAGTAACATATTTACCTATATATGTTATTATATAGGTATATATATATTTTTAAGATTTTTTTTTAAATTAATTAATACTCGTTTGCGATGTAAGCACCAAGTTTTCTATTGCACTTAACTATTTTACTTTTTTAATTTATTATTATTATTATTTTTTTTTTAATTCAAAATAGCCAGTCAAATTAGTTAAGTGTAATAAAAATGAGTATAAATTAATTTTGAAAAAAAAAATCTCAAAAATATTCACTAGAACAAAAGTTGTTTCATTTATCTTATCTTTTTGGGACAAATCTCTTCTGGAATTTATGTAGCAAAAGGTTTTTATCGATTAACACAAAACACATATGACTATAAATTTTGGGTGTGTATCAAGCGAAACCCGATAAATTTAATAATAGTTTTAAAATGTTATTTTTATTAAAAAATTGTATTCTACTTAAACATTATAATACCGCTATACCGGTTTGGTCAAACTCATTTTTAACTGTAAGTATTTTTTCTAAAATCAAATACACACCGCTAAATCTATTACTTAATATGTACTTATATGACTCAATCCACTCTGTGCTTGTTGTTTAATACAGTTTCGTTTGCGTCAAACCTTATTGTATTAAATGTAGGTAAAAAAAAAATCGTCGCGGTCATTGTAACAGTTATTGAGAAACGTGCAATAAAAAAAAATTTCAACAATAACAACATCTCAACAAATCAAAATATTGTAAGTAGCATGTTAAGAGGTCGAAATCGGAACTAGTGCAGTTAAAATCTATTAACATGTACATATATTGTACATCTAAGTAAGTTTAGCATTAATTGTTTCGTTGAATGAACTAAAACAAGTATCACTTTAAATAGGTGCCCATAAACATATTATTGACATGACTTGATAATTTTTACTTCAAAATTTAGGTGCAACCCTGAATACACTTATTCCTTATAAATTTCAACTCAAAATTATAGCTAATAATTTAAAGTTAAAAATTGAAAACTCTTATAGGTTTTTTTTGTTGAGTTTTCCCCAATTTAAATTTTTTCAACTTTGACCCCAAAACACTGCAAAGAAACAGAATCAAGTATAGATTAGCTTATAATATTTTATTATTGTTAAACTGTGTAACATATTTTTTAGATTAAACTGCCAAGACTATAAACCGCTAAAAATTCAAAAAAGGACATTAAAAATATACTGTTGTTAAAAATCATTTAGTAAACAAATCTAGAACTATATTTAAATAGGGTCTAAATTAATATTATAATCTATCCAAAATTTGAATTTAACAAAGACTTGAGAAGTACAGTTGTAACGGGTTAGTTAACAGGTATATATTTTATTAATTTACATAATATTGTGTATTATTATGATGGCTTTGAACGTTTTTAGGTTTTCCAACGACAACGCGTTTGTATTACATACAATTATTTTTTTACTTACTTTAACGAGTGTTTAAGTACTTGTTTTGTTTTTTAAATTCTCTTTTAACCTTACACGAGTACAACGCCATCATAACCGCGGTTTACTGACACAACACGGTACCCCTATGATAATGTTGATGACGATCATGTGTGTCTATGGGCTGTGGACAAACCGAGGAAATATGTTTCCGAGGTTATCGACACGGACTACCCGCTGACCGATTTGGCCTTAAATAGCAACGACTTTCATCAATGTTCAACTACAAGTGCACCGACGGTTGTCCATCGAGCAGCAACGATATTGACTTCAGTGTTTTTTTTCGGTGAGTACAATCTGCACTATTTACCATAACAGCTATCCTAGGTAAAAACCAAAAGAGAACAATGGGTTTTTACCTTAAAAAATTATTATTTATATATGTATATATATATACATACCGAGTGGTTCTATAACGCCCATACACCGCTAGTTTACTTTATAAAATAATTGCAATTGTGTAGTGTTTCTTTTTGAAAACATTTTTGTTTATGCTCGGGTTCCCTATGCTTATTATATTACTAGAAAAAATTCAAATTTTTCAATCTTTTAGAGTATTTCCTTGAGCTCTATCGACTGTTAGAAGCTTAATAGTTAAGCATATATTTTTATAAGTTTTTAAGTTGAAAATAGTTTGCTGAAAATCTTGATTGGTCGTTAACCAGCTATGAATAATTGGTTTTAAACTTCAAAAATAATTATTTGAAACTGGTTATGGAGCGGTAAAATTGTTCAGTAAATTATCCTTTTAGTTTAAAAAGCTAGTTAAATATACTAACCCCGTTGCTATTTAATTTTTATAAGTTGATAGAGCTCAAGCAAATATGCAAAAAAATTTGATATTGTCTAATATTGTACTACATTGTATATAACAAATCAAATATTTCAAAAAAGCATCACCAAAAAATTGCAATTATTTTAAGATTAAACTAGCGTGCGACGTTATAATAACTATATGTACTATATAACTATACAAACTATAAGTATCCGAAAACACCATAAATAATACCATTGAGTATATATATATATATAATATATATACATCAATGATAATACTCAACAATTTACAATAGTTACACTTACTATAGAAATAAAAAATACAATAAAAATGTATTTTTGTTTTCTTGTAGTTGAGTTATAATAAATACAATTGCTGACAAGTTGTCAAACTTTCTGAAGAGTACTTAACTTTAGACTTATAATTTTGATTTGATATTGAATTTTGATACATTACCGGTAAAATATGACATGTTTCCCAAGTAATGAACGGTTATTCACATTAAGTATTAACAACCGAATTTATTACTATAGAAAATATACTGATTTGTTAATAAATTTAAATGAATAATACAATTATACAGCTCAATATTTGTATCCTTTGGCGCTCAGAACATAGCTGTTTTGATAACAGAAACTAGTTTACATAAAAATCATTGATATTCGGCTATTTTTAAAAATAATATTATTAATTAATTTTTTTCATAATTGGAATTGTGTCTAGTTTTGAACATTTCAAATTAGGCAATTCTGATATGGAAAAGAAATACAAATATTGAAGTAGTTTTTATGTAAATAACTGGAAATTTCGGTGAATCTATCTGGAAAAAAAAATTGAAATCTTTAAAAGTTCTGTTTGTTTTCTTTGTAAAAAGTTGCAAATTTTTCCACTCCAAGAGTAGGTTAGTGGTTAGACTGGGTCAGAAAGGTTATGGTTGTCTCACCCCAATAAGGACTGTAAACCTAAGAACTTCACCTAACCGTCTCTGCTTGAATTTGTTGTCCACACACACGGTTGTACACGTTTAATTTTGTTTTACATATTTAAATTCTACACACAGGTAAAGGACACGCGGGCACGAGGATTTAAATAGTGTAATGTAAAAAATTTTAATTTTAATTTTTTTGATTCCCGTTAAAACAATGAACAACAAAACAAACACAGCCATAACAATAATTGGAACACGACGGTCGCGAAAGACGTTTGGAATGAAAAAAAATACTTAATACAATCAAAATGCACATGATATATTTCGATAAAGGAAAAAAAAAATTATTAAACATACTTGCCAACTCCGCAATGTGTTACATGAAAGGAGCCGTTGATTAACATTTTTTTTAGATTTTTTTTTTTGTTTAAATTTTTTCCAAGGCGTCAACTCAATCGGGACGATTCCTAGTATAAGACCATAACGATAAACAATATTATTTTTCTTATGGAAACACTAGTGTAACGCGATACTGTCGTTGTTCTGTCCGACTTCATTATTGTTAGAATAAAATAATATGACCTAACCTTACTGTCTGGGCGAATAGGTGAAGTCCTGCAAAATTATTACAGCTATTCAACTTAAAAAGCGCGTTAAGACCTTCGATGAGACTAAAACATGGCGAACATGTCTTTTTAGTAGGGCAGTACTCATTTTTTTATGCATTTTCCTAGTGTCCTTAACAATAGTGTCGAGTACATGAAATGGTACTCTTTTATTTTTGGAAGGTATTACGGGCTAATACATGTTGATGATTATTTTAGAATTTTATTGTTCATTTATATTTTATGACTCGACCAAATGCATACTAATACATTATAACAGTATAACATAATGCCGGTCTCTGATGAAAAATGTAATAAAATGTTCAAGACTTTAAAACCGGATACTATAAGTTACTAAAAGCAATTCACGGATCTCAAAAATATATTTGACTTTTTCATTATGTTTTTAAATTAAAAATTACATTCTGATGAATGTAATTTTGAAAAATGCTTCGCGGAGGAAGCATGTTATTATAATTTTTTTTTAATTCAAATGTTATGCTTTTATATTATAAAATTTCAAATGTTATTAAAGTTAAATATGTAGGAAGCATATCGATAAAGTTTTGTAATTATAATTAAAATTTTATACTCGGTATTTTTACCTTTAAAAATTAATTTAAATACATACATACTTTTCAATAATCATACATTAGAATATTTCTTATATTTCCAACGCATTAAGTTTCAAGGTATTTTCATCATGAAGACACACACCTAAAAAAACATTTTATACACACGGAGATGACCTATGCGATATGCAATAGGCTAAATGGGTAGAAAAGTACACACATTCGCCAATATTATGATAGAGGAGGAGCTAAGTTTTAAAATGTACTTTTTTTTAAATTTTTATATCTGGTCACCTTAAGTATAATAATTACAATACCATAAAAATATGTCTAACAGAACATATTGTTATAAATATAATTAATTGCAAGATTTTCCGAGTGAAAGCAGAAGAGGGATGACTTGAAGGTACTATATAGGTACTCTGGGAGGTTTTTTTTAATGAAAACTGATGTCTAATAAATTTAAATATCGGCCTAAAATGTATTCTTGTGCAACACTCGACACTTGTGCGGTTCACGGCCGGCGTGGATTTTTCATTGATAAAAATTACTATAAATAATAATGTATGTATTTGGCCGCCGGAATGTCAGCAGAATTACCGTTGTTTGAGTATAATAATATAATAAAATGCAAACAGAAAATAAGATTCATCGAAAAAAAAATATTGACAAATATTAAACTGACGCAAAAAATAATGAACTTGAAAAACATGCATATTATACAGAACAATATATTGAAATAAACAAAATTCGTGTTGTCTTTTATATTATGATAAATTACAAGCAGGTGCAACAGGTTTTGCTTGGATTTTAAGTATATTTTTTAGTTCAGCGTGTGTGTGTTTATTTGTTTTGTTAACTTATTGTGTTTTTTTTTCTTACAATTTAGAAAACCGCAAGTGATTCGACAGACAACATGAGCGGATATTTGACAATCTTTGGTGAGTTCAAATATATTTATCATAGCAGTGTACAAATACCAACACAAAAATAGTATGTCTGACTGTGTAAATTAAGGCGTTCTGCCCAAATTTTAGGTAGTTTGAAAAAATTCTAATAATTGACTGAGCTGAGCAGTGTAGAAATGGAAGATTGACATTTTTCCTTCCTATTTGTACATATATATATATATAGTATAGTTTATTTAGCGAGGCAATGGTTATTATTAGAGCTTTTGTGCCCAACCACAGAGTCTATAAAATGACCTTTATTTTTGTACTGCAGGACAGTGTTGAGTTTGAGCATCATTCGAAAAACAGTGTATTGGGATGTCTCGTAAAAGTTTGCTTTATTATTAGTTGTTTTTTGAATAACAAAATATGACATTTTTTTTTACACAAGAACAAAATATATACCTTTTATATGTGCATTTCATTTGTACTAAATTGATTCAAGTCTTGTTTTAAATTGACTGAATATATTATTATGCTTAAAGAAAATTCGATAAGAAAATATTCAAAAATTATCATACAAGATAATTCCAACTAATTCTGAACCAGTCGAAATCTCAGAAGGTATTAGACTTTTTAGAATTATTCTTTTATAGTTAATATTTCACCCAATTTAAATTTATTTTTCAAAAATACAACCCCATCCCTTCTTGAACATTATTCAGAGATCTCCGGGGGATGAATTCTATTTTCGTTTTAGTGTTTATGCAATGATCTTATCAAAAAATACTACTTATTTCATAGTAAAAACTGTTTATGAGAAATTTTTAGCCAAAAAAAAAACTTAACTAATTGAGCAATCAGTTTTTTAGAATAAGAGAATATTTTAGGAAATTCAACGGTACGGTAAACCCGGTAAAACCTTGGAGAACCTTGAGTTTTTTATATCAGGGTATACAGGGTGATCATTTTATAGCGAACCGCTCAACATCTCATTGGGCTTTATCAATAACTGAATTTGTTTTTTATATAATGTGATCTCAATTTTCTACAAAATTGGGATAAAGGTGGATATTGGTTTTTATTTCGAACCAGTCTACCGTTTACACAACAGCTGTGCTTTTGGTTTTTTTTGTTTGTTTTCAAACGATGGCTGTATTATGGGGGTTTCCCCGTTTGTGCAGGGCTGATGCTTTTGCAAACCTTGGTAAAGAGTGGCGCACAGGAAGACGGCGTTTGGTTGGCCGAAGTGGCGGGAAAACCGATCGCCTTGACCAGGATCGAACGCAACGACCAAGAGGAGTCGACCGGCGATTTCTTCGTCAAAGAAGGCAGCGCGTTCCCGAAAATGACCAGACGGGGATACGCGGGCGAAGAGTTCTTCCTGAAAGCGTCCAAGTCCGTGCCCAGGATAGGCCGGAGAAACGACGACTTCAAGTCAGCCCCCAAGAGGTCCTGGGCCAAGTCCATGCCCAGGATAGGCCAGAGAAACGGCGACTTCAAGACGATCCCCAAGAGATCCGCATCAGGAGGTGGCACGGTATGTGTTAAGACATTATTTTCCTTAGAAAATAGCTACATTACTTTTTTACATGTTTATGTCTATTGGCGGCTGGGGGTCAATACGAAAATCTTTGCATGTGCGTGTGGCGCGATCTAGCGGCTGTTTTTTGAACGAATGAACTGATAAAAAGTTATCTGATAAGAGATAAGTGATAAAATTTCGGCCCGTTTCCCGTTTACTCGTAGGTACAAAATATTTTAATTCAATACTTAGTACATTCCTTAATTTCACACTTTATACGCAAAACAAGTATGGACTTCTTTAAGTCATAAAGAATGTTAGCGTTTAAAATTTTGAACTCACATCAATCGTTCACCGTGACTGTGAATTTCCAGCGACAGTGTGACCACTTTAACGACAGAAATAAATGTTCTTTTTTTTAAGGGCGTTTGCAACACTGCACAGCGCTTACAATCCTTATCGGCCATACATATCATTAGATAAACTCGAATGTCATACAACAAAACGTTATAAATGGTAGGTCATTCGGTTTGTATATCACAATGTTGCAGTAGCGAAAATATCTACCAGAGCAATGTAATATCGTCATTGTGGTCACACTGCAGCTGGCCTTTTCTGGCTAACTTTATGGTATTTGTTCTTATTGCGAACGCCTCGGTACTTGCTTAATTATATTACATCAAGCTTGCGATTATGATAACAATAGTAATAATTGTGTAAATACATGCATGCACACAGGATCCGGCGGCTCCTGAGGAATATTGGCAGTGGCTCCAGTCCAACGGCCATGTCGAGTTGAACAGCAAACCGGATTTTGACTTCCCCTACGGCTGCCAGCAACTGGATGCAAAAACTATATTTCTGGTCGACATGTACAACTTTGTGTGCAACGACCAATTCTACTGTTGTGCCACCGCCAAGCGCGTCGCTTCCAAATGAACCCCGTCGTTGCCGTATCCGAATCCGTGTAGTCTTGCCCTGATTGCATATTATATGATCAATTATGAACTCTGCAAAATTTGTTTTCTAAAATATACCATTTAACACAATTATACGTCATAAAATAATACAGTCTAGACAATACATTTAAAGTGTACAGTTTTAGTTTTAGTTCTTTAAAGAGTGAATAGCATCCAAGCACTGTGACTTTCATTGTGCGCACCTTCTTATCTATTTGCAATATTGGTCTTATCTCGCCGCTGTGTCCTACTCCGTCTGATAACAGCTGTTTGTGTTGAAGAGTACCTAGTCTCATTCATAGTTCAGTATCTCCTTCAGCATTCCCATGTCTTTGGTTCCACAATTTCCCGGGAAAGGTCTGCCAAAGAGGAATTGCCCTTTAAGGGAGTCATATTCACACAAGATAAGGTGTGACGTTTCCTCTTCTTTTCCACATTACTTACAAATTGGTGATCCTGTAATCTTCATACTGTGTAGATGTTTGAGTAAATGTCCAACTGGCAAGCTCGTTTGGTTCCTGTTGATATTTTTAAGATCCTTCAATAATATGCCAGGATGCTTGATGAACATCTTTGATTGACATTTGTCTAGATACTATGTGCGTCTGTGCTCCAGTTTTTCGGTATTACTATCAGGATTTGCCTGCCTACTTGACTTCCGTTTGTTCACTGTCCTTGTCTCTGGTATATTTTACACAAATAAAAAAGCCTGTTTAGAAAAAGGGTGGATATTGTTTCTGGCAAACTAACTCCCTGCGCATCTCTCACTAATCTAATGGACAGGAAGTTAAACTTGAGGCATGACATAAGTAAAATGGTATAGAAGCAAACGCTGTTACACAAGTTAAAAACAAAATAATAATAACTTATCACTACCGGCGTGTTATAATATTTATACAACGGTTATTATTATGTGGAACTGAGTGATTTTTTTTAAAATTGTATTTATGAACCTACGTCACCGATTGTATGCACATATAATAATATATACACATTTTTTTTTATTTATATATATTCTACCGCAAAGTATGGTATGGACGTAATATACATACACACACTTAACGATATGAAAATTTACTTGATAAAAAAAAAAAAAAAATGCGTGTTGCGTTCAGAGATAAGAGATGGACAAACTGCATTGTACATGCCTCGTGTATTGCACCGGCCGTTGTACCAATGCCAAATGTTAGTAGGTCAATAATTCATTCCATAAGCTGTTTGTAACCAGGGATAATTATTATTGACTTAAGACATTATAGCCGATAACACGGACGAAGTGGTGCAAAACAGTTGAAAATTAAAAAAAATTAAATGGTTCCAAAAAGTTCACACTGATTGCATACAACCGGGGCCAGATTATAACCTATATTTTAAGTAGGTTAGAGTAGTGAATTTACTTAAGTAAAACATTATAATGATACATCCTACCTATCATCATTTTGTTTATCTCATCCTACATTTTAGTTTTTCTAGTTTTTCTAGTTTTTAATATTTTTCTAGTTTTTCTATCTTTTCTAGTTTTTTTAGTTTTTCTAATTTTTCTAGTATCTCTAGTTTTTTCTAGTTTTTCTAGTTTTTCTAAAAAAGATAGAAAAACTAGAAAAACTAGAGAAACTCTAAAAACTAGAAAAACTCGAAAAACTAGAAAAGATAGAAAAACATTTCTATCTTTTCTAGTTATTCTAGTTTTTCTATCATTTCTAGATTTTAAAGCATTTCTAGTTTTTCTAGTATTTCTAGTTTTTCTAGTTTTTCTATCATTTCTAGTTTTAAAAGTTCTTATAGTTTTTCTATCTTTTCTAGTTTTCCTAGTTTTTCTAGTTTTTCTAGTTATTCTAGTTTTTCTAAAAAAGATAGAAAAACTAGAAAAACAAGAAAAGATAAATAACTAGAAAAACTAGAAATATAATGATACATCCTACAAAATTCCATTCTACCCATAAACCTAAAACGACAAATTTCGGTAATGTCCACAAACAATATTGAAAATAATTAAACAAGTGCAGCATAAAAAATACAAAAAAAAAAATGTTTCAAAAAAGTTAACAATAATTTAAAATAAGATTTTGGTCAGTTGCTCAGTTGTTAAACAATTAATGTATTTACCAAAAGTTATAATATCAAGCAAATTGGTCGTTTCCATAAGTAAAAACAGTTTGTCAATTGTATAAGACATATTCGTTATCATTATGAACTACTTGGATCATTTGTAAGTAATATATAACATATTAAAACTTTAAGTTATAAAATATAATGTTAATAAGTAAGTTAAACTTGATAATATGATAAATAATTTGTTATTAATTACATGTACGCAAATGAAACAGTAACAATACAATTTTACCGTTCAAATATTTTTTCTTTTTAATAATTTAGTACAATTTTATAATTTTCCAATATTGTTGTATGTGATAACATTCGTAGTATTAGTTTACCTAATTAATTTTGTATTTTTTTTATTTTTAAACAAAAAAATTCTCTTAATTAAAATATCAATAAATATTTATTTGCCTAATTGAAACAATTCAAACATTCAAATAGCAATATCGATGACTTAAACAATATATATATATATATAAAAATCTTATCGACATACTGATAAAAAATATATTATTTCAACGCCTTGACTTGGCCCAAGTTTTAACCACCGTGTAATTTATATTGGAAAGTATGTTCTGTACCTATTTTTTTTTGCAGGTAACCGAGTATTAGATAAGGATTAAATTTAATTTTGGTTTATTTTCCCATTGTATAAAAAAAAACTTTTCAAGAAAAAACTGGGGTGTTTTTTTTTTTACCATCCAACCAAAGCCGCGTTTTCTCGTCTAATTTAATTATTATTATTATTATTATCATATAAACGTGTAGCCCTCGCACATATTATTATTATTGCTGTACTGTAACACTGTTATTGCTATGATCAACCCTCCGACGAAGCTGGTCACGGTTCGGGGATGACATAGTGGGTTAATTACAAAATACATCAGAAATGATTTATACACTATCGGTATCCCGAGGTGGCCTAATATAATATATATATCTCTATATATAATATATAATACACGTATATAGCTGGCGGGGTTCGATTATTTTAATTATAAGGGGGGCGAGAGGGGAAGGAGCGAGCTCAAGTGCAAAAAAAAAAAACCACATATTATTAATTAAAACCAAAAGAGGTCAAACGACTAACATGCGGCCAAGAACAGCGGCGGCGTTTTGTTCTGTTATTATTAAAAAAAATATATACATAATATATATTATATCAGGCGCATAATTATTACATTGGGTAAATCGCAACACACATTGTACATAACGTTTGCATGAATCCATCCTAGAGCAATCGTACCGTGTAATTGTTGGCAATGAGGAAAAAGTGAAATTAAAATATCAAACTTAACCGATAACATTTTTTTTTTATTGGCAACGCTTTGTACATTGTTACTACTATATATATATTGTAATATCTCTAATAATATATGTAATCTGCACAATATTAGTAATTATGTACACTGTGGTGGTGCTAGGCGATGCAAATCATATTTTATCATAGCTGTTAATGTATAATGTAGGTACATGCGATTGCATACAAACGAGCCAATAATTATTTCCAAACGTGTGTTTGTGTACACTTTGTACCCGCGTGTTAAGTCTTAAGTTCGGGAACCGTTAAATCGGCCGTAAGGAGTGATCGTTGAAAAACAATAGCACTTAAGGGCAGGTCGTTTTCTTATCAGTGTCCAGCCTTGTTCCAATTACACCCCTGCAACCCGTACCCCTTGGTGGTAAACGGTCGTTGTTGTGAGAGATCATTTTGAAGAGTCAATGAAAACCCATAACGTGGGCATTGTAACTCGACAGATAGGTCCAAATATGAATTTGGATTTTAGGCGGTCTTCCTAGCTGGTTCTTCTTTTACCGCTTGTTTTCCCTTGCAGCATTGTTAGCTTTGTCAGCCACATCTCCACGTGCTTCCATCATTTCCCACGCTTGTAGGTACTTACTGTACTTTATCAGAGTGGATCAGACTATAACATTTTGTTCACTTGATGACGCAGCACATATCGAAATGTCCATCCGACGTTGTTTGTAGAATAATTATTAATCGGTCGCGGTAGGCAGTGTAATTATTATTTGGTAAGTTTGCGTTTGTCGTGATGGAAATTTGTCCTTATGTCCTCTCCTTTGACGACCGCAGAGTGTAGTGTAACTTGTAGTATTATAATATAGCATATATAATACAAAGTAGTATTAACCCTAACGGAACAGTAAAAGCGTTTGACATGGAAGTTTTCAATCCGTCTTGAAGATGCCACCATAAGACACAACGTAGGTATAGTATAAGACTGATGGAGGCCGTCTCGGATCCGGAAACCGATCACATATTATACAAATTCGATATTGTTGCAATACCGCGGTACACACACTAAGGTAAGGACTATGGAGGGGCGCTAGCCAAAAGCACATATATATATATATATATATATATATAATACCGAAGGCATAATAATAATAATCTGGCACGATATTTCACGGTAAATTGCATTTGATTGAATCATCCCCCACACACAGAGTGGTCGACCCCTTTTATTCCACCCACCGTTGTATGCGTTTCAAACGGAGAGCACATTCTATGAATATAATAATAACAATATTATAAAGTATGCCAGTTCTCGGTGGCGCTGTATTATTATTTTGTTTAACATTTTTTTATCTCAATAATAATATAACAAAACCTTCAAACGAGATAATAATATACTTTTTCAAAAAGGAAATATGTACCTTGTACACACACACACACACACACACACAATATGACAATTTAAATAAGATATAATATTTATATTAACCGGAAGTAATCGGCAATAGAAAGTAAAAACGTTTTCAAAAGACCACATTCGCGGGCTCGGATCCAATAGAAGGTTCTAAGTGGGTTTTTTTATTTTTGTTAAATTCACTTTTTTTTTTTTGTAACTTAGGCTTTGCATTTTGCCCAGCTTTTCTTTGGCTATACTGCCAGGAACTCAACGCGTTAAGAATCAAAGAAGTTATTCGGTGCAAAATAGTTGACTACTTGACTCGACACTATCGCAGACCATAGATAGAATGGT